TCGATAAAAAGCAGATTAGGCAATATACAAAGAAAGTTGAATCATACCAGATTGGGGGCAGAAGCCTGACCGGACCGAAAGCCCGAGCCCAGCAGCTATCCCTGTGGCCTGCCCTCAGCCCAAGAAAGGCCCTCAGCCTGGGCAACACTGCAGAGGCCTGAGAAGCTAGCACCTGATTGCCCCTGCCCTGCCCACTCTGCCTGCATATGGGCCTACTCCCTAGGGCCCCTGTTGTTAGGAACTTGATGTGGTTTCCAGGGTCCCTTTGGGCAGGTCATATTCTCCCTGGAGGCCCTATCTTCCTGGCCCACTGGCATGGGTGATTCGTAGCTGACCCCTGCAAATTCTGTGCTCAGGTGCGAGTCAGGGACCATTTCCTAGTTGTTTTCATCCCCAAACTGGGACTAGGGGCTTCTAGAACAGGGCAATGGGGACAGCGCCTCCTGTCTTCCTATGGGCCACCTTAGTACAGAGGCCTCCTGCTCCCCTGCCTGTTTCTGGGGCTCTGGTGTCAGTGGGGTCTAGGGGTTGCTGGACAGGAAGCTGGGTCTGCAGCTTCTTCCTGAGCGCCAACTTGTGTTGTGCTTTCTTGATACAGCTGGTGCTGCTTCCTCAGCTCCTAGGCTGGTTTGTGGAGGAGGAGGGGGCAACCTCTTCTCTCTTGGGTTCACCATCAGCCTCAAATGGTTCTTTGCACAAAGTAGTAGTTCCAGGTTCATCTTATTCATTAACCAGTTGTGAAATTAGCAACTCATTTTCTTTAGCTAGTTATTTCCCTTTGCGGTTCCATGAAAATCTGAACTGTTTCTCAACTCTCATCTGCACTAAAGCAGATTAAGAGTGTGGCCTTCCAGCCTAGATGCCCTTCAGTAGATGAATGGATAAAGAAAATGTGGTGTGTGTGTGTGTGTGTGTGTGTGTGTGTGTATACACACCCACCCCCCACACACACACACACACCACACACTGGAATGTTATTCAGCATTAAAAGAGAATAAAGTCCTGGCATTTGCAGGTAAGTGGATGAAGCTGGAGAATATAATGCTAATTGAAGTTAGCCACTCCCCAAAAAACAAATGCTGAATGATTTCTCTGATTTAAGGATGCTGATTTGTAATATGCTGCGGGGGGGTGGGTGGGAGGATTAAATGAACTCTAGATAGGGCAAAGGGGAGAAGGGGAAGGGAGGGGGCATGGGAGTAGGAAAGACGGTGGAATGCGATGGTGGAATGCGATGGTTATAAGTACATGCATGAAGGCACGAAGGATGTGACTCTACTTTGTATACAACCAGAAGTATGAAAAATTGTGTTATATATGTGTAATGTGAGTTGTGATGCATTCTGTTGTCATATGTGACAAATTAAAAAAAAAAAAAAAAGAGTGTGACCTTGGTCTGAAGGACTCCACCATCTGTGATGGAGCCACCTGAGGAGGGAAAGCCAGGTTAGTGTACCTGCATGCAGACTGTGAGCAGTGGGTGATGGGGTAGAATCTGACTGCTGGGCTCCTGTCCCCTCCTGTTACCCAGTGCAGTCCCACCTCTCTGGGCCCAGTGGCCTCCCTCCCCGTCTGTTCTCCAAGAATGAAGTACTCCTGTACAACTAGCTTTTGGGGTGCCTCAGGCTACCCCTTCGGGCCCCCAGCCCTTCCTGGGAGTAGGGGAGAGGAGGAGGATGCAGTCTGCAGTTGGGCAGTGCTGTGGGCAAGAGCTGGAGCCTTCTGATAGATGGGGCTCATATCCCATTCAAATATGATGCCAGCAGTTTTTCTGTAGTTTGTCTTCCATTGCGGTAGTAAAGTTTTTAATTAGGAAAGCTAATGAGATCGATTAGTCATTAGAAGTGACCTCTGGACGGCGGGTGGAGAGGGCTGCGTGTGTGGGCCTGATAACGCGGAGCGGGCATTGGCGGCAATAAAGGCACAAGGGGCTTGATTTGAGTGAAGCGTGCCGTGGGGGATACATCATGCAGAGAAAAAAATCACAGCCCTGGGAGTCTGTAATGAAGGGAATTAAACCAACATCCTATCTAAATAACATGATTATCTACACAAAACCCTCAGCCAGCAAGGGGTGGGCGGCCTGTGTCCTCGAGGAGGAGGGCGAGGCCCTTCCTGTCTGCAAGCTGGGCTGTCCAGCAGCCCTGCAGCTTTGCCTTCTGCCCACGGGGCAGCCCCAGCCTGCTTCCGGAGTCTCTGTGTGTACCAGGCAAAGTCTTAGGAGTCCTGGCTCCTGCCTGTCTCTGGGGCCTGGCCCAGGTCGACCCCACAGCCCATTTGTCTAGCTTGTGTCCTCTAGGGTCACTGAGTGCATTCACACTGCCATCTGGGAAGGGCAGGACGAAGTCCCCCGCTGGGCAGGCTGTAGGGGACGTAGCTCCACTGTGGGGCCAGCGAGGGTTGTGTCCTCCCCTCTGTGTCCCACTCCGATGGGAGGCCTGCCCCCCAGGACCACAGGAGAGGTGAGGATTTGTGGGAAGCACACCTCCCAACCCTGACCAGTGACTAGAGGCCACTTTCTAAAAGGGGGTCAGCTTTGTTACTTGTATTTTCTTGGCAGGGTCATTGGGCTCTAGTGAGTCAGCGCAGGAAGTTAGTGAAGACGTCTGACCTGATGCTGGGCCCCGCAGGTAGGGCAGGCCAGAGCCTGAGCTCCTTGCTGCCATCCACGTGCTGCCTGCTCCTGTCTGTTCCATCTGGGGACGAGCTTCTGGAATTCAGAGTGGTGTCCTCTGGGTAGAGGGGGCAAGGGGCTTCCTAGAGGAGGTAGTATCTGCCAGACCAGGGGGAGAAAATGGACTTCGACCTCTGAGGTCAGGATAAGGTGAAGATGTGCACTGGGGATTGGGAGCAGAGCCTGGCCACGTCTGGGGAGGCCCCGGTGGGCTAGAGCCTGGCTGTGTGGTACCAAGGGGTGTGCCTGTGCCTGGCTTTGTGGTCTGTCCCAGCAGTAAGGTAGGCAGCCCTTGGAGGCCTGAATGGAATGTAGTCAGAGGTGGCTGCAGAACAGCAGGTGGGTGGCCTGATGCCTCCCTGTACACCTGGGCACCCTGGGGTTGGGGAACAGGCAGGTGGAGCCCTAAGCTGTGTTCCGGTGGGTACCCCGTCCCCGGCAAGATGCCAGACAAGAGAGTGGGGGAAAGAGAGAAACCGGCAGGAGCTGGACCAGGCTGCCCTCTTCTTTCAGACAGAAGCAGGGAGCCTGGGGCTGGTCTCATGGGGCTGAGGTCGGCTTGGGTTATTGATAACTTAAGGAATCTCGTGTTCTTGAGCTCTTAGTTGGAACTAGCTATTATTGATTTTTGTTGGTCTCTCCTTGCTTGTAAGACCTTGAAAATTCAATTCAACAAACATTTATTTATTGACACCCACTATATACCAGGCTGTCCCTGGTGTACCAAGCACGTTTAGCTCAGAGCTAAAGATTCATTGGCTTTGGTCTCTCAGTGAGGACCAGGGGATTCCAAGTTCCTGTTTTTCCCCTGCTACCCCAGAGTCACTGTCATCATAGGCTTGGGGGGCGGGAGGCGCAGGCAGGGAAGGGAAGAGACTGCAAGGGGGACAGACAGAGAGAGGGGAGGTGGAGGGCTTCTGTTGCCGGGCGTGGTGGCAGGCATAAGGAACTGGCTGCATCCAGTTGTCGCTGTGGCCTCCCCTCAGTGGGCGGCTGCCTCTAGCTTGTGCCTTCAATCCTGGGGACTAGAAGTGGCCCCATATCCACCACTCTCAGGCCACCTGGCCCCACCATCCCCCTGATCCAGGCTGGGAATGTGCAGCCTACACTCCCTCCCCTTGTGCCACTGGGGCAGGCTCTCTGGGTGGCTTTGCCCTCTGGGTGGCCTTGCCCTCTGCCTGACCCACCAGCATGTGGGCTAGTGGAGGCCTTGGTAGAGGTTACAACCCCAGTAGAAGTTGGGGGGACCCTGAGGGGCTTTTGCCAACATCTGGACGAGGAGGGGCAATAGCACTTCAGGCTGCATGGGTGAGGGCACACTGGGCACGGGGCTCATCTGCTCCCTGCTCTTCCTGAGGACTGCATGGCCATGGTGCCACCTCAGGAGTCTGGGCTGAGGGAGGTTTGCTGGTGCAGAGCTCTGGGCAAGGGGTCAGAGGAACTGTAGCAGCTGCTGCTCTGCATATAGAGCAGGGAGGGGGGGCAGGTGAGGGTCCCCAGGGCAAGGGGAAGCTGGGCACAGACTAGAAGGAAGCCAAGGCCACCCAGGCAGACCAGGCAGGGGCTCCTGCTTGGGGCCATGTGCCCAGGGCTGGAGGGACAGCCATGAGAGGTGGCCGTGTAAGCTTTAATTATCTGGACAGTTAGAGCTGTACATTATGAAAGTCGGGCAATTAGACTCGTTCCTTGAAGCTATGGAGAAATTGCTGGCTATCAAGTGGAAAGGAACTCAGGCAAAACAGATCCTTGCTAATTGCCTGAAACATTCAGCAAGAAAAAAGCTGTTGTGGATATCGCCCTGCAGAATGTTATGAAAACAGTGATTAAGTACATAAATCTGCCTGGGCTGGTGGTAGCAAGGTGCCTGGAGAGCAGGTGAGCTCTCTGGGGCCCCTCCCACGTGTGGGGCCACAATGCCGGAGCGCCATCTGCCCCAGCCTCCTGTACCAGCCCTGGAGTTTGGAGCCTGGGGGGGGGGGGAATGGGGGTTCCCGGTATGGATGCTCACCTGGGACGCCCCCCTGTGGGCTGTTACCTGGCTTGCTGGGCTTCTCTGCTTTCCCCTAGGCTAGGCGGTCGGTCACTCAGCATTCTCACCCTGCCTGTCAGGTGACTGTGACTGTGAGGATATGTGGAGTCTGTGCCCCACTCTCCTGGAGGCCACACCGAACCCTTGGCTGCCAGGCTCTCTGGGACCATGGGGCCATGTAGGACCAGGTTGGAGCCAGTGGGAGATGTGATGGCCAGCTCAAGGGCGGCCTTGGGCCCCAGGACCCCCCCTGCTGACCTCCTCTAAGCTGACCTGTGTCCTGACTTTTCTCTGTAGTGGCTGGCATGCACACCTTGCGGACTCCACCCGCCAGTAAGGTGATCAAGACTCGCTACCGCATCGTCAAGAAGACGCCAGCTTCTCCTCTCAGTGCCCCACCCTTCACCCTGTCTTCACCCTCCTGGCGAGCCAGGCGGCTCTCACTATCCAGGTAGGAGGACCTGGCCCAGACTCCTGGGCTGTTTGGGCATTGAGGGCTGCAGGTGGGGTCCCAGGGGTGCAGGAACAGAGTGCACCCAGGGAGCTGCATGGTGTATAGCATGTTGGCTGGCAAACAGCCTGTTTTTTCTGTTTGTTGAGCAATTTGTGCACCAGACATATGGCCAGCTTGTGTGTACTGCACGCACACGAAGACACTTATGCTTGAGCGTGTGCACGTGTGCACACACCCTCCCCTGTTGTTGGCAAGCCTGTTAGCTGGTGGGGCCTCCTGTGCAGTGCTATGGAAGCAGCCACTGCCCAGACAGTTGGGGACCCCATGATGGTCTTCCCTTGGTCATCTCTCAGAGAGAAACTTCTGGTGAGAGGCCAGGCCCTGAGTAGCCTGTCTGGAAGCTGCCAGTGTGTCGATTGTCGAGGGCAGTTCTGTGTGGCTCCTCCTTGCCCCGCCCCAGCTGGAGCACATGCTGACCTGCTGCGGCTGCTGTGTCCAAAAGCTGTGGGGGGGTGGGGGCAGGGGCGGGCAGCCCCCAAAGAGGAGCCTGTGCTGCCTTCTTGGGGCCTCCCTCTGGTTGAGGTCTTGCCACCCACTAATAGAGGTGGCCCAACTTCTGGGCCCCCAGAAGCCAGGCCCTGGAAGACACAAGAGTCCCTTCCTTTTGTTGCAGTGGGAGCATCCCACCTCCAGCCTGGGGAGGGGTGGTGGGGAGATGGGAAGCAGGCAGTGGCCAAGTCCAGCTCTGGGGGGATGGAGGGGCCAGATGCTGTGGGGCAGGCCCACTGGGCCAAGTGATGCGTGCAGGGTCCTGCCACCCTCTATATGGTGGCTGCTTGGCCATTTCCCCTGCTGCTCTCCAAAGGATTCCAGGCCTGAGGCCAATCCCAGGGGATACACCAGGCTGTGTGGACAGAGCCCTGTCTGGGTCTGGGGCCTTTGGCAGGCCAGCCCACCCAGTTTTCTGTCTGAGGCCTACTGGCCTCCCTTCTGGCAACACTAGGTTTGGCCCTGCTGCTGACTTTTCTGGAGGCAATAGCTGGAAGTATATTTTAAATTAATTTTACTGCACTTTTTGTAATATTTTTGTTTTAAATAGATTTATATGCATCTTGGGGGCTATTTCTACAAATTTATGAAGATAATTTTTACTCTCTCGATAAGGTTAAATTTACACCTGCTATTTCCATATTAATTCACATTGCTAAGTGGATCTAATTTTCTTCCGTTTCTCTATCTGGTGAGCATGGCCTTTCCTAATGCAATTTCCCCCTCACTAAATCACTGTGATCGGGAGTCATGATCGAGCTAAATTAACTTAAATTAATTTACTTAATAAGAGCTCCAGATCATCGTGAATGAGGTTCAGATTTATGGGTTTTCAGCTCCTGAGAACCTCCCCTCCGGTGATCGGCGTTTGGCCTGATGTCCCTCTTCTCCCAGGGGCATGCATGGTCAGGGGCCTGAGGTGACCTTCCTCAGAGACCTGAGGCCAGGCCCTAGTGGGTGAGTAGGTCCTGCAGGAAGGTGGCTGGTGCGGCCCAAGGGCTGCATGTGCACCTGCACCATGCATGTCAGCTGTAAGTTGCAAGACCTTCTGCGGAACTGAGCTCATAAGGTAGAGAGTAGGCAGTGGCTCAGCTGTGAGTGTGGCTGGGCAGGAGGCAGGGAGCACCGTGCCCTTGAATGGCTCAAGTCCCTCAGTCCTTGTCCAGTAGCCTGACTGTGGGCTCCTGGCCTCAGTGCCCTTCCTGCACATGGAAGCAGGGTGGAGCCTCCCCTGGGAGGGTGTGTGAAGAGGCCCTTTCTCTCTTTCCTGACTGCCTCACCCTGGTTCTGTCCAACACCTTGTTAGACATCCAGGACCCTTGAGGTTATGATCCCTGGGCCTGGGGTGGGTTGGGGAAGGGAGCTGAGCTGAAGGATGAATGCAGGTCTCTGGAGGCCTAGCTAGAGGGGTTGCCAGTGGGCTGGGCCTTCTTTCCCCAAGGTCATCATGCCCTGATGTGGCTGCGTGCTCAGCAGTGTGGCTGTCAACCAGCTGCCTGGCCTGCTGTTGGCTGCATGTGCCTGGGCCTGGCTTGTTGAAGTAGCAGAAAGAGCCTGTCTCTGGGTCCAGTGGCTGAGCTGGTGCCCGACTTCCTACTGCCTGCACTCCATCAGAGCCAGGGCCACCTGCATGTGGTTGGCAGGTTCACCTCACTGTGGCCTTGACCCTGCAGTTACTCTGCCCCTCCCTGAGCAGTGGGAGGGATTAGGCCAGTGATGGGACTCAGGCTACCACAGACTAAAGGCTACTGCAGTGGTAAGAAAGCAGGGCTGGCTACCTGAACTCTACTTACCCGTGCTCGGTCCCCCACCCTGGGAGGCAGGCTGTAGACACAGGTGGGAAGTGAGGCAGGGTGGCCCAGTGGCCAGGTGCTAGCTCAAGTGTGGGGTGGCCCCTGCTCACCCCTGGCAGACACTCACTGTGTTGCAGATTTGGTCACTCGAGAGGGAAGGGGAATCTGCCATCCCACGATGGGCTGAGTTACCGTGGGCAAGCCTCTTTCCACCTGGAGCCTCAGTTTCCTGTTCTGCCCTTGTGAGGGGATGGCAGGTGGTTAAGTGCAGTGGCCATGGGCACCTGTGTGGAGTCAGATGGGGCCTCAGAGTCCTTGGGGCTGCTGCCTGGTGAGCAGCCTGTTGGCCACGTGCTGAGCAGGCCTCCTCGGCTCCACACAACTCCTGCTCCTCGGCTTTGGCATGTCCCTGCCCTCCTTGGAGAGGTTTTCCAGGCTTGGGTCTGGTGGAAAGCACAGGACAAGGACTGAACCTTGAGGGCCTGGAATTTTGTTGATTGAGGAGGGGACAGGGAAATGGCAGCACAGTTTATGGGGAAGCTTGGGCAGGTCCCCCAGAACTCCTCTCTTGCTGCCTATGGCAGCTCTTGCCGGTCCTATCCTGGGGCCTTTCTGTGCCCCTCCCTTCCTTCTGTTCCCTGCTGAGTGCCAAGGCTTTTACAACTTGGAGAGGGGTCTGGGAGACGCCCTGGGTCTGCTGGACCAGCCAGAGCCCTCAGGACCCCTCTTCAGGCCTCACTGTTGTGCTGGGAAGGGGAGCTCTTTGTGCCCTGGGCTGTCAGCGCTCCTCTTGTTCTGGGGAGAGGACACAGGGTGCTCATCTGTACTGCTTTGGGGAAGTTGCAGAAGCTCTTCTTCCCCTCGCTGTGGCAGCTCCAAGGCCTGAGATGGGTGGTGGCGTAGCTGCCCACTGCGGCTGTTGCCCCCGCTCTTTTGCCCTGTGAGGCATTTGCTCTCGGCACCTTAGAAAGGTGGCAGGCATTGTGAGCCATGTTGACAGCCATGCTTACAGGAAGGGATGGGCAGCTCCCTCCCACCACTAGTGCTCTCTGCACTGGACATGGAGCAACAGGGGCACAGAAGGTCATCTGGGAGTCAGCTGGTGGCCTTAGATTGTCTCAGCTAGTCAGTGTTTGTCCCTGTCCAGACAGGAGGCCAGAGGCTGCTGAGCAGAGCCCTTAGGTCTTCTGGGTGCTGCCAGCCAGTACCTCTGAGGATCGATGTGCCCACTGAGGCCATTTGCCCTGGCCGGACAAGCATGTATAAGCCAGGGACAGAGAGAGAGAGGGCAAAAGGGACTCTGCCTTTGAGAGGCAGTGTCGGTGGTTTAACGTCCATCCTGGCCTGCAGACGTCTGGCCTTGGGGCTGCTTGGGTGTAGGGGCAGGTGATGATGGGAGCAGTGCAGGCCATTGCCACCCAGCCCTAGGAGGCTGCTGTGTAGGATCAGGTTGCTCTGTGGAATGAGGTGCCCGCCTCCTGCCTGGGGAACTAGACTGGACAGGTTCAGCAGGACAGAGCTGTTGCTCAGGCCCAGTCCCTGGGAACCCACAGCACAGGCTGCCCTGCACTCCCCCATCTTCCTGTGGCAGTCCTGAGGACTGAATCACACTGCTGCCTGGGCACAGGGCCTGTCCCCGGGGAGCCAGACCCAGAACCAGCCCAGGGGCTCCGAGCGTGTCTGTGTGCAGGCCTGGGATCTGAGGTGCACGGGCAGGAGGCCAGCAGAGGGTCCCTCCCGAGCCCTCCCAGGACTGGGGCTCACATCCACGAGTCAGTTTTTTGTTGTTCTGAGATTTGTGGATTTGCTGTGTCGTCGCCAGCTCCCAGCAAGTCCATTAATCTGAACTGAAGCTGAAATGTGACTTATATCCCTAAACTGCCTGTCACTTTTTTTCTCTCTCTAAATTCGTTTGACATGAAAGTGCGAAATAAACAGGAGCTGCTGTGCTTAAGCAGATGAATCGGAGGCTTTTCCATCCGACTACAAATGGTCCTGTCACAGGCTCTTGCTGGCTGGGCTGCCTTATTTTATTTTATTTTATTTTGTGTCTGAGCAGTAAATCTTAAGTAATCTCTGTGCAGTTTGACGAGGTTTAGGCCAAGATTTTGAAAGGCTCTGAAACACTTCTCCGAAGTGACGTCTCATTAAAGAGGATTCAGGCTGGCGACGGGAGGCATCCCTGCCGCCGTAGTCCTGGCTCCTGTGTGCTCCCCTCTGTGTGTCTCCTTAATGAGGGGTTTGCCCACACAGCCCAGCCACCAGCCACTGCACCGCTCTGCCTCCTGCCTGCTCCCTGGTACATGGCGGCCCTGACAGCATCACCAGCTGCCCACTTAACAGCAGGCATGCACCTCTCGAGGCTCAGAAAGCTGGCAGTCTGAGATCAGAGTGCCCACAGATTCAGTATCTGGTGAGGGCCTATTCTGGTTTTCTGGGGGACTTCTGTCGTTGTCACAGGCAAGGAGAGAAAGGGGAAGGAAGAGGAAGGAGAGGAGGGAGAAGCTGTGAGGCATGCTCTCTGGGGCTAGGCTTCAACATAGGGACTTTAAGGGGTACAAACATTCAGTCCATGCCAAGGTGTGCCCTGCCAAGACCAACTGGAGCTGAGATTCCACAGCCTCCTGACGGGCCCAAAGGCTGTGTCTGTGCGAG